TCATTTGTGGAGAATGTTCTCCTTCAAACCCTAAAACTTGGACAAGACAGATTTTCCCAATGAATTTGAGCAGAGTACATATATGTTGTCAATGTGGGTTTGGCCTACTGTTGCAAACCAGGTTTTGTGCCCCCAATTTAAATAAAGTCTAAGGAAACAGGTTTTTTTCAAGTTTCTTGGCCCAAGTGGACATGCATTTCTTCTGTAGAAGCAGCTTTAGCAAGGACAAGTGATCTCTCTTGGACACAGCACTAAATGAGTGGTTTTGCATGAAGCAAAAGAGATGTATGACAAAGCTGGAAGTTCTTTGTTTAAGCACTTATTGTGGACTAAGCCACCAGCTCCCCATGAACTGGAAATCAAAAGTAGATCTGTCCTTACGGATCCAGAACAAATATATCATTCATCTTACCTGGATGATTTGTCCCATATCACTAGTGATTTTCCCAGAGAAAGATGCTGTACGTGACTAACAGCATTTTTTGAGGGTTAGACATTCCAAAGTTGTCTACTCAAGGGAAGAAATTTCTTGTTTCAGCAACTTAGAAACATTGGCTGCAGTTACTGCAAAGAATGGAATTGCAATTAGTCTTCTACAATCTTTATAGGCAGGCCTGAAAATCAGGGATGCCAATACTGCAAGTCTGAGAGGTCAGTAAGGCAGTGTCCTTTGCTGACAGACAACAGACCACTCCTCAAAACTCCCTCTTGCTGGGCTGCTGGAGATAACATTCAGTGTGAGGCAGAGCAGCTTCAGTTTTAGGGCAGGGGTGCTGCCTCTGTGGTTCTTTGGAATCCTCTTTGCTGGAAAACAACGTTGTATTATCCCCCAGAGATCAGCCAGGGCTGGTCTCCCATCTGTTCATGGATCTGCACCTGTTTTTCATTTCACCAACAGTGGCCACATGGTCTAAGATTGTGGGGGAATACAGAGAAGAAAATGAACATGTAGCTCAGGCACTGGGCTTGTATTCAGAAGTTTTGAGTTTAAATCCTGACTGTGTAGCATAACCTTGGTCCTTTCCTTTTTGTCTACTTCACTTAGTAAAGGAGATGAAAAAAATGAACGTTGTTCTGGGGCTTTCTTACATTTTTTAACAAGAAATTGGAGAAAACTTGGTTTTTTCTTCTTTGCTTCTATTTCACCCATCACAGAAGTCTTTACAGAAGTAGATCTCTATAAAATATGTCACTCATGATTAGGAACACCAAACATGTACCCATTTCCTTTGCACTCTGAAAAATAGAAGGGAAGCTCCTTAGAGAAGCTGCTCAGTCTCTGCCTGTGTAAAGGCCAATGCTGCTTGGACACAGCTCCAGTAGCAGAGAACTGGTGTACAGGTATTTGGGGTGTTTATTTGCAACTGGAGCACGTGAATCCAGAGTAGTCACTCTTTGTTGATCCAAGACTGAATCCCATTCCAGCTGCAGCCAGGCTCCAGAGGCAGCATGTGTCTCAGTTCCCTGTCTCTCCCATGGCTGGCACTGGGCATGCCATGGATGTGGCCCTGGACATTTTGTAGTCCTTACACTTGCTCAGAAAACAGGGGCAAAGTTGTTGCCCCCCCTCTGCCTACTCCTTTTATTTATTGCTTCATCAGCCACACTCTCACTGTTTATGCTCCAGTCCAACATTTGGCTGCAGCTTGTGTTGACAGCCTGGAGATTGCTGGAGGCTAAATAAAGAGGGTAACTGCTGTCAGGTTCTGTGGAAGTTCTCAGCTGGGCATGGCAATGCCACACTAACTGGGGACATGCTGACCTTGCCAAACCCTATCAGCTTCTGCAAAGGTCCCTTGAAGTGCTCAGTGTCACAGACCCCTGCAACTCACTCTTTGGGAATTCTCAACTCGGGGCACTGCTCATTAGGAAAAAAAAAACCTCTCATTTTTTCTGTCCTAACTGGGGATTGGGTTGATTATAACTGTTTTTAGGTGAGTTGTTTCTCACCTTGAGCCTCACTCAGCTTCTATTGAAATCTGCTGGGGTTTGTCATTGACTTCAATGGAATTAGGCTCAGGCCTTTATCAGAAAGTTTGCTGTGTGCTGGAAGTTTGATTTCCCTGTGATATATCTGGAAGCTCTCAGTTATCATACTGCCTTTGAAATGGAAAATTGACAAACTGTTATCTCCAGGAGCTTGTTGGGTTCAGATTGGTTCTGTCAGATCACAAGTAAATTGGTGCCAAGCAAGGTTGCTATTGAGTTCTTTATGTTTGATCCTCAAATTAAAAGCTACCTGTCTCATTGTTTTGCACTTGAGACTATCAAGTACATTTGAGACTACCTGGTTTTGCCTGAAATTTGCAGTGGGAAGGGCAGGTGTTCTGTATGACCCATGGATCAGGAGTTTTGTGTCAGCTTCAGAAAACCTCTAGAGGCTTGGGATACAATGTTATGCTGAACACCACAAATTTGCAGGTGCTGTGTCCAGAAGATACAACTATGATAATATATTTTGACTTTCTGCAAGCTACAAAGTGCCTCCTGCAGTTTTCATGGAGGACCATACCTCTCAATTTAACCCATCCCTAGTCATTAGAATTCTAGGCTGATTTCATTACCTCCAATTACAGAAAGTTCGTTGCAGTCCAAGGTTACTTTTCCTTGGTGTTTAGAATTTGTTCCTCATCTCTCATCTGAACCTGTTCACTTTTATTTGCTGCCACTGCATGTTGCTCTGCTGTCACCTGTGCCCACTGTTGGACTCTCTGGCTCTACACTATCCCCAGGTAGACCCTTTTATGCACTGCAGTCATTCAACTTTCTCTTCTCATCCATCTTCAAAGTCAGGTCTATATTCCAGGACTCCATTCACTCATAACTCTAATATTTCTTTTTTTTAGAATTTGGATTATACCAATTTCTCCAGCTTCTGATGGCTCAAATCACCATGCTATTTTTAAATGTTATCACATGAAATATTTCCACTGACACTCCTATGGCTCACGCTCACTCAGCAGTTTTGTAAAGCCTACTTATAAAATCAGTTCTTTCACACTCAGATGTGTAATTCCACTGGACTCAATGGAAACATCCATTTTACCCAGGAATGGCAAAATCAGACCTTAAACCAGCAGGCAATGCCAAAATAACACTTAACAACGAAGATGTTAATCCCGAAAGAGCCAAATACTGACATTTTTCCTTGATTTCATGACTCAGCTTTCTTTTATGGCCTACTTTGAAGTTCATTCCCTTAGATCAGTTTTTTCACAGAATGCTATCAATGAATTTGCTAAAAGATAAACTCATCTGGACCCAGTGCTCTCAAGGTACAGAGTAACTGAAATGGAGCTCATCTTGTGTAAATCCCCACTGGGAGCACGGTGAAGTCTGAAGTTCCATCCAAGTGTACTTGGATACAACTGTGACACAGGAAAAGGTTGAGTGGCATCACATTCACCTGATAAAATTAACCATTCAGAAAGTCTGTGGCTTACAAATATTAAGACAGGTTATTGCAACAGGGATCTTGCTACTGGATTTTGCTGGGCAGCTTCTCACTGTGCATCCTTAACATATATTTTGGAGCAAAACTCTATTAGTCACCCAAAAATTAACATAAACTCATGGAAGTGTACAGATAACTTTCAAGTCTTCTGTCTCATCACTGGCCCAAAAACTCGCCTTTTGTTTAGCCACATAATGTGCAACAAGTTGACTTAAAAATTTTTCTTTATCTATATGCATTTGTATTTTCATTCTACTTCAACAAAGCAAATATGAAGAATTAGTCTTCCCACTTTTGGAATGATCTTTGTAAAATTCGACATTTGACAGAAATCTGTAAAATGATTTTTTTTTTTTAAATATAAAATACTGTTGTAACATTTGCTCTTCTGGTCTTATTCTTTATTTACTACAGTTTTTCGACATCTGTCCCTGTTCCTTTTCATCAAATATTTATCTGCAGCAGCTGAAAGAGCCTCATTTGTTTTAATTAAGAATAAGACCACCAAGTTGGGATCACTTCCTTGGCTCTTCCCTGGCTTGCAGAGACAGACAGTAGATCTTGTGAGGTTTCCTGAGGGTGGCCCATTGACAGGCTTTCCCCTCCTCCCTGTACCCTTTTCTTTTGCACCATGTTTATTTTGGGATAGAGAAATGTAATCAGAGCCACATTCCAGCCAAAGAAACTTTTTACAGTTGACACGCATGAGAAAGGAGGAAGATCATGTTGGGTTTCATTTGGTGTTTTATTGTAGGAAACCATTTTCTAATTTGTGACTTCTGGAATGGAATTATCTCTGCCACAGAACTGTAGGAACTGTCACAGCAATAAGGCCTCCAGGCTGCTGATGCTGTCACAGGCTCTTAGGGAAGAACTGTGCAAATTCAGCTGAGGAACAAACGGCTGATTGAAAACATTTTTTGCACTTTTCCTTGCTAGCTATCTCCTTCATCTCTTTTTTTCCCCCCAGTGTTGACTTAAGAGGAAAAAAGCCAAAGAACAAAGAAGCAACCTAAAATAACTCCTTTGTACAAAATCAGTATTCCAAGGTGGTGCCTATTGCTGCTAAAACTGTTCTAAAGGGTGTTTGGGACATGCTATTTTCAGTGTTATATGTTTTAAGCAAATACTTTTGGAGCGCTCACAACTTCTAGAGGTGGTGAGATATCTCCTGGTCTTGGGATCCCAATCAAGTTGTAGAACATGATCTTTCTCAGTCACCTTGATTATCTTAGTCCTTGTTAATGAGACAGATTTTTAAATTAGGCTTTTACATTTATATAAGATGAAGGAGACTAATATGCAAATATTGGTTTTTTCATACCTCATTTTCACATCAAGCTTCATCTTACATGAAAAATAAAAATTAAAACCAGCCATCTCTGTGAAACAGCAAATTAAAAAAAGTGTTATATCCTCACTTGGCAAAAATCACCTTCAAAAATGATTACCTTCAGTCTCCCTTGGCAGCATGTTACAGTAGAGTCATCCAATGCTCACACGAGTATTTCTTACAGTTGTCTGTTAGACACAAAACATTGCTTACCTTTAAAATGAAAAGATCTCCTCTCTTTGTAGATGTAGTCAGATTAAAACTTTACAGTTTGGAAGTCGGAGTTTTCTAAATTTTGAAAAAAACCTCTCAGGCTCAAAGCCTGACAGTAACTTGTGCACCTCTTTGTTTGTTTTGTAGGCAAAGTAGAGAGAAAGGTGATGTGATCTTACATATCAAAAATTACCTTATTACAGTTAAAATTTTTTTCCTCATAATACACAATTGCAACAGGCATATATATAGCACATTTCAGAACATTTATATATAAGTTGTTGACTTACCAAGAGGAAAAAGGAGATTTAATCTCAGCATCTTTTCTAATTCACAGTATTGTCTCCTCTTGCACAGCACAGGGTAACATGGCTGTAAAACATCCTCATGTAGGTTGGTTCTGCATTTGAGACATGTGGGCAAAACTGACACAGAACTCTAAGGGCAAAGTTTTCAGAAGTAGACAAATATATTAAGAGAATTAAATTTAAATGAGAAATTGCCCCCTAAGTTGTCCTGTACTGATACTCATTATCTAAGTAACTTTTACAGACAGTGACTCACTATATTAGAGCTACAGCATTGTACTACAACTTCCAAAGATCTTGATATTGACATAAAGGAAAAGGATCAATTATGTAACTTGGAATGAGAATTTAATCCTTTCCTTGCAAGATGCTAAGAGAGGAGACAGCCCCACTGCTTAATCAATCACACGACAGAAGGGCATCAGGCACCTAGATTTTCTTTCCAGCTCTGCCAGAGGATTGAGGGTGACCTTCATCAAACACTCTTTCTACTCTTTAAAATGTAACTATAAATTCTCTGTCTAAAGGCATTTGAAATGAGAAAGTACTGTTAAGTACCCTAGATTTGATGCTGATTGCTTACAATGGTAAGTGAAATCAGAGTTAAACTAATTTAAGGGAGACTTTATTAACTAGAAAGATTATGAGCTTGTCAAAAAGATATTAATTAAAGTCTGGGAACTGCTTGCCAGTGTCATTCTAAATTAATTGCTAATAGGTTACTCTTAAAAGTGGAGTGCAGCTGCAAGAACATCAGGCTCAAAGGAAACTCAATTTTGTTTATCATTCATTTTTACTTTGTTTAGCAAAGGATTTCTAAATACCAAAGAAACCTGAAACTGTTTCTGGCAAGGATATTTTTGATTACAAAAATATTTTGGTAATACAAATGGCAGGATTCACACACTTACTATAACCTTCTACTCTTTTCTCTCTTTCTGTGAATCTCTGATAAGTATAAAACCCTTTAGAAATAAATCTTGCATGTCTTTTAAGAGGTAAAGAAGCCAAAAAAGCCAACTGGCTTTTTAGAGCCGGTGACACACAAAAAAAGGGTTGATTGACACAAAGTTAGCAGCAATTCTAGTGACCCCCAAATTGTGTGTGGTTCTTTGGGGATAATTTTACCCATGGGAGCAATTCAGAAGAGGCCAGAGATTTCCAGGCCTCCAGTTTATAGTTATATTTAAGAGCACAGGGTGAGCACGGGGGTGGGAAGTGATTCCAGTCCAGTTCTGTCCCTGTTTTCAGGCCATGTGCTCCAGCTTTCGTAGAGGAGTTTTGCTGCAGTGTCTCACAGAAATAAGTGCTTCAGGAGGATATGTGGTTAAACACAGGCTCAGACTCCAACTGGTGCATGTGTGGAATATTCTTTGAAGCCATCCCAGTTGCACTGGGGTAGAATGGGGGGAAACAGGAGCTGCACTCCCTGCTGCTGAGCTGAGAGGCCACGCTGGTGAGGGCCTGCCCTGCACTGAGCTCCCTGTCCTGTCACTGACACACACTCCCTTGCTTCTGACTCTTGGGCAAGCCTTAGCCAGGCTGACTTAGTGTAGGCAGGCAAAGGGCTCCTGCAGGTACTTTCTTTTTAGTTGGACAGTAGTGAGCAGCCACCCACAGTAGAGAAAAAAATGTATCCCAGTGAACATCTGTTGAGCTATTTATTTCCTTATTTTATGCTACCCAATTGTATAACCATTTTTATCAGTCCCTGGGTTAAACAGTAAAACAGATCACTGTTTTAAGGGAAGTTGGAGAGCTCTGTGCTACCTCAGACAGAAATTTTTGAAATAGTGGGAACTTAGTGAAAGCACTTATTTTTCACAGAGCTCTGTTACCAAAGAATGAAGTGATAAACTGTTACCTTTTTTATTCCTACAGTTTCAATTTGAAAATATGAAAGCTCTGACTAGATATAATTATACTTATTCAGGTATTTTAAATACTGACAAGACTGCCAGACCCAAAAAGCACAGCCAAAATCAGGGACAAAAATACCAGTTGACTTTAGAAGATGCCAAAATTGTACCAAAGTATTTTGTTCTTTTACCCCAGAAAATAAGAATGTGATTTACACCTTCCCATATTGATCCTTCTGTTCAGGCAGTTATGATCTTCATCATACTGGGACACTTCAGTGCTTTGGCTTTTATTTTGGATGCTGTCATTTCAGCAGTGCAAGTACTAAGTGGTATAGGAATATGGAGCTTCCAAGTGTGGATGACTACTCTGTTCCTATCTTGAGAATATGGCCAGCACAGCTGTCCCCATATTGCTTGTGAACAGAAGTCCTGTTTGCTTCACAAAACTGGATGACAGACTATTAATAATAACTTTCAAAACTCTTTGGTAAATGAATTACAACTCATCTTCCTAATAATTACAAAACCATCTCAGGAAAAAGCAACATGGCACTGTTATATCAATTGTCCCACTTGAAACATCTGGACTCCAAACCTGTGGGCTCAGAACCTCCAGCAGAATTTACCAGACAATTCTGCTCCATACTGACATGACCAACTTCATAGCATTTTTCTTAAGAGGAATTTGAGCCATGGCCTGAATTTCCCTCCCTGTTTGGTGATCTGTTTATCCTTGTGCCATTATTCCTCTACTCATACACACACAGATATACAACACATAGACAGCCTTTTTTGTGAGGTATGTGACACATTGGGCCAAGCAGGGAGAGCACCAGCAGCTGGAGAAATCTTTCTCACGGACACTTTTAGGAGTGAAGTACTGAGTGTGCCCTAGAAGTGAGATAAGCTCACATGAGGAATGATGGAATAACTTCCTTAGTGCCGTGTGTGAAGTCTCTGCACTTGGTACTGCACTGAAGGAAAAGGAGGAGGACCTGTAGTGCACCTTGTTCTTGTGACTCAGAGACACTGAGCAAAATGCTTTGACAACAGAGTCAGTCTTGTAAGAATGCCACAAAAAATGCAGCTGTGCTTACTGCTCATGATGTAATTCAGTAATGATCACCCACTGCAGGGTGAGTGCCATGTCTGGCTGGTATCAGGATTCCTTCAGCATCCTGTGGGCAAGGAAGCTCAGTGATCCAGAGACCAAGCTCAGAGCACTCCATCCCCCCGGGCTACAGCAGAGTTGGCAATTGATTCTCATGGAGAAAAGTTACCAGGTTCCCTAAGATGTGTTAGAAGTGAAGGGAGGTCAGAAAAAACATAGTTAATATGCCCATATTTTCCTACCATGAAAATATATTTGGACAATTGCTACAGCAACTTATACAAACTGAGAGGTTTATAGATGCATTGTAAATCAGATTCATGAGAAGCCTTACTTTAGTGGATGCTCCAATTTAAGATTTCTAGGCATCCCATCTAATCTTCTAATCCAATAATCCTAAAATCCAGCAATTAAAGAATGTTTTGACAAAGCAACCTGAGGCTCATTCCTCTAATTATGCTGCACAGTTTAGGCTCAGTGACTCCAAATGCATAGGTTTAGCCATGGAAAATAGGCATGCAGTGCACCCAGACCTACCAGAGTCCCAGACTCTGCAGAACTCAGCCTATTAACAGCTTCGTCCAAACTGAGAATGAATCAAGATGCTGGGGGAAGTGTTCACCTAAGAAATTCTGTTTCCTTGCTAAGAATTAATGCAATTATACCTTTAACACAAAGTCATATCCAAGACCAACAATATTTTTAACAGAATTTAATAAGCAGCTTTCAGAAATCCCTCTTATGCTACTGTGTGTGTTGGATTTCTCTTTAATTTCTGCCATTTTACTGGTGTTTCCTATCAGAAGGTGCAGAGTCTGATGATTCAGAATAAGAGACACAAAATGCTGTTCAAGTACTGAAACCATGGAGAGATTGGAAACTTCAGTGATGCAGGGAATTTATCTTATGTGCTGTTTGATTAAGATAATGATGGAGTGTATAGGGTTTGCCCCAGAAGCTGGAAGAGAAATCAAATGATACATTGATCCTGTTGTAGCAGAACCCATAATAGAATCATAGAATCATTTAAGTTGGAAAAGAGCTTTGAGATTATTGAGTCCAACCGAGCTGTGTTTTCAAAATTCTGGATTGGACCCAGGTCAAATATGAAGTCTGCACTATCCCAGTCTGATACCGTTTGTGCCTCCAGTAAAGTCCTAGTTTACTGGCAAAACAAATTACAATATTTTCTTTGTGAGTTCTGCTGACCTTCAACCTGGTAAGAGGATAAAAGGGTAAAAAGCCCCAAAATAGACAAGAGTGTTTTTAACAAGTGGAACCTTTGTAATAGCAGGACCACGTCTGTATGAAGGGAGGGCTTGGCTTGTTTGTTGTTTGTTTTGGGGATTTAGGAGGGTAATGAACAAAGCAATTACAAGAGACAAAGATATGCAGCTTTTTCCTTCTCCCAACAATCTAGGGGAATTGAATCCACTGGCTGCCTGGAGTTCATTCTTGTAATCCCCTCCTTAACCCTTTCATTCAATGAGCCCTCAGTTTTCCACTAGATGCAACTGCAGTTTGCTTGTGTCTGTGGACAGATTTTTGTTTCATTTTTATGTTGAGCAAGAATCCTTCTCTGTAGTGTTTGGTTCCTTTTACATGCATCAGTCTCTTATCAGACCACATCCAGCTTTTCCACTGTTGGCAGCATTATTAGCAAAAATACAGAGTATAGTGATGTTAGTCTGACCACATAGAATCTTTCCTGTTTTCCTAATGATCTCCCATCATTTCACTGACTGATAAGTTTTGTGTTGATATTTTATACATGCTTTTCACAATCCTTAAGCCAGCAGCTAAGAGGTTAATTTTTTTAAAATCATACATGTATTGTACAGGCTGAGATGAAAGCCATGGCTCAGCAACATCTTGGCTAAACATGCTTATTAGCATCAAACACTCGTTCTGAAGAGGTGTTGCTATGCACCTGCTATTTTAATTCATATTAGGTTATTAAAATCAAAACAAAGTGTCAGACTAGAAACAGAGCAGTGCTGTGATCTGCTAGAAGACATAAAATACAGACAGATTATGAAGTCTGATAGAGCTACTGAGTAATGTCTTCATTCGGGCTACTCTTTTTGTGTAAAATTTTTAGGCAATAATCTCAGCAGAC